CTGCTCCCCTCACTGACTGCATAGGCCACTATGGGCCTTTAAACTGCCTCCCTTGCCCTTTGGCTTGGGATTGGATTGGACCAGAGAAGCGTAACTGAGGGAGAGATGGAGTGAGGTAGGAGAGAGGAGTCGGTCAGGATGTTTTCTCCTCAGTCCTTCTTGGGTACTAGGCTGGCTGTCTTTTCAGAGCCAAGAGCTGTGAGGCAGTCCTGTCAGGCAGCCCGACATGTAGTGGGATCTCTGATTTCCTTTAGGGTGCAGAAGTTGTGGTGGCAGTGAGTGATGGATCACTGGTACTAGTGTCCTGGTACCGTGTCACCCTTGCTTCTCTTCTCACAGACTCAAATTATCTCTCTCTCTCCCCTGCCAGGTCCCTAACTGATAGAATCCTACTTTTCCCCCTTACCCTAAAACACAATTAAGTGCCAGATCATAGAATCTTTGTTTTTAAAAGAAAGATACTTTTCCCCTATTTTCTAGTCTTACCATCACCAAAATCTTGGTCCTGATAGCCTGGAGGCTTCCCAAAAAGGTTTTCCTATGTATAAAACCCAGAACTGGCTGTTATATAAAACAAACAAATAAACAAACATCAACAATAAAATCCAGGCTAATTCTCAACCACGAGTTTTGTAACACCATTACTGCAGAGCTTTGCTGTCCTCAGTGGCCAGACAACTTCAGATGAGACTGTTTACTAAGACCCAGAAACAATGATTTTCTCATGTTGCTTTCTTCAGCCCTCATAAGAACTCTACACATTGCCAGTGTGCCACTTACTTGTTACCCATGATGAAATTCAGACTCAGCAATAAAATCTGTTGTATCCAAGATAGAGTTAGTGCATGCTGGATCTTCAACTTCAACTCAGGAACCCCTTCCTCAAAGCTCAGACTCTTCTGTTTCAATGTGGTGTCTGCTTATCAAATTAAACCTTTGTGGGCTTATATGACTCTGAATACTCTCTTCAACAAAACAGAATCTGCTCCCAAAAAGCAACTGTTAACGTGCCAGCCCATGCTAAAGAGAAACCAAGGGCTAGAGGGCAGGAGGAAGTCTATGAGACAAGGGAGGATAATAAATGATACCATTGTGCATGGTGTGTATGATGCTCACATAAATTTGAGGATGGGTTGGCACAGGATTTTGCACACAGGAAATCTAGTGCTTTCAGGAGCTCTAGGAGATTCTGACGCAAGAGAGATGAACATTGCATTTTGTGGGATACCCGTTGCTCCTGGCACAATGGGGTCAGCTCAGTTTCCTTTTGGCTTTGGAACACCTGAAGCCAGCATGGGAACTGGAAACACTGACAGAGAATAAACAAAGATTTATTATATCCCAAGATTATTAGATAAGGTATCCCACACTTTTGGTCTAAGTGAGAGTAAGTGGTCTGGATTCCACTCCTTCCCCACTCCGTTATTTCAGAAAAACAGCCAATGCACAAACCAGAAGAAATACTTCTGCATCTCTCACTGTTGGGGGTTATCTGCCATAGCTCTTAGGACATTTGTAGTCAGGAGGAAGAGGGCTTTCACCACAGTGACCAGGTGGATACATGTGTAATGATAGAGATCAGGCTCTGAAGAAACAGAACTAAGGTGTCTGGGAGCATACTTTAGGGGAATGTTAACTGAATTGTCAGTGTGTGTAGGGCTTCTGTAGTTCTGAGGATGAGGAGGTCTTGGATGAGTACAGGTTGGAGCAAAGGGGCTGCGGCTGGTTGGGAGAGGGCATTACGGAGAGAAGTAACAGTGCAGGCCAAGTTGGCAGGAGCAAGTCAGTGGTGGGAATGAAAGGAGGCAGCTGTGATGTGGACACAGAGAATGCTGAAGGACAGATGAGGCAAAGCTGTTATGAAGGCCAGAGCCAGACCACATGGAACCTTGCAGAGCATGAGGCACAAGGGGGATGTGTAGGAATAATTGGAGAGGGCTGAGATGGGTAGCAAGCCACCAGGCAGAGGCTATCTCAGTGGGTCAGGACAAAAAGCAGATCCTTATAATTAGGCTGTGGCTGCGCCAAGGAGGAAAGAATGGCAGGTGGAGGTATTTTTCACAGAAGCCAAGGTGGGTGAGAATGACCTGTTGTCCTCCTTTCTTCCAAAGTCCTTCAGCCAAAGGTGAAACCCACTGGGTATGAGCCCAGGCTTTTCCAGGCTCTGGGTGCTCTGCCCATACCTAGCTCAGGAATCCTCCTCATTCATCCTCTGCATTCCACCTGGATCTGACCACTCCCCATCACACCGCCTACATCTCCAAATTAGTCCTTTCTCCAAACTGTTGCCATTTGGTTGTACCAGTCGTTAACTAGACCTTAGAAAACAAGATTCCGATGAAAATCAAATTTACAATGAGTTATCCCCAGCTGAGTAAGCCTCTAGTACTGTCATCTGAGAGATGAGTGTCTTATTAATAAAAGCAGGTGTCTACATTTCCTTATAATCCACTTTAATCCTCAGTCATCACACTTTGGGTACCTATCTCAATTCACAATGAAAGTATAACATCTAAGCAGCTGAGTGACCTGCTTGCTAAAAGCCAACCATGAAAGTGGCCACCAACATGCCAATGAGAGCCTGTCCTGTCCCCCAACTGCTGATATGATGCCAATAGCTAAGCTATCTGTGTTTCATGTGAAACCTTATCATTTAGTCTCTTTCCATCCTCATTTTTACAGATAAGACAATCCTGTTGAGTAGCACACATCTAACAACTTACTGCTACCAAAGATACAGCCCCAGACTCCTCTTCTGCAAATGAAGTATTAGGAATTCATTAATATAAGTTCACACTTTGTCCCAGTTTTTCAGTGTTGACATTTGAACCATTGATTAGAAATTGTGCTCACTGTCACATGTGTTACACTGCACTTACTTTTTATAATCCAGCAATTACTTGCATGACTTGAAGTTTCTGAACCCTGACTACCAAGTTCCACCCTAGCACACTGGAGGAATAAGACCCATCCGCAGCTTGGGCAGGAGAATCTGGAGTGGTCTGGCAGGTGGTAGGAACCCAATAAATAGAAATGAAAGCAAAACTAAGGAAGAGTTTTTGCTGGGGACAATTTCAGCCATGAGGGTCAAGCTAAGAATTTCACATCTCAAAAGGGGCATCTTACTTAGAATACGTCACCCAGCACCTCCTGCCAAAGCCCTTCTGGCCCTGTCACCCCTTCACCCCATGGAGTCTGTGCATCCACTGGCCCACTTTGGATTAGGAGCAGTGGTGAGGATCAAGGCCTGAACTTGGATTTCCTCTGGGATCCTGCAGCTGCCCCAGCCATTCTACTCTCTATTTCCCTCTTCCTCTGCAGAATGAATGCACTTTTTCTTCTGCAATGTTTAATTTTGTCAGTCATTCTTTTCTTTCTTTTTTTTTTTTTTATTAGGATGGGTGGAGTGGGGTTGGGGATTTTCTGCTTCCTTCTTTCAGAAATACTCAGTGTTGAGAAGAGGACAGAGTTGCTTAGGATTCCAGGGAGAGGAAAGGGCAGAGTCAGCTGCTTGTTGGCTTTCTCAGTTCTTTAAAAAATAGATGAGCCATCTTTCTCTGCTGTCATTTAGTGGGTAGGGTCTCCTAGAGGTAGGAGAAGTGACAGGTAATCCCCACCTTGACTTGTCCGGAAGCATGCAGATGCAAACACAGGCCTGCTAGGCGATGGGGTCGACAGCATTTTACTCCTTTCCCTGAGCCTGGTCTGAAGCCAAAACACCATTCTGTCAAAACCAAGAGGCAACATTCTTTGGCTGTAAGAGGCAGAGGGAGCCCATCCACACTCGCTTGCTTAGCAAAGATATGTAATACACAAAGGAAGACTAGGGAGATGACTCACGCAAACACATAGTAAATAAATACATTTCATTTCCATCTCGGTGGCTTTTGCTTTGTTTTCCTCTTCTCTATGCCAACAGCCGAGCAGTGGAGGAAGGGTGAGGAAATAGTGGGGTTTGATTGGACACAGCCTCAATAAGGGACTGCTTTTCCTGGCCATGCTGTTGAGCTCTAGGTGTTTCAGGAAAAAAAACTTGCAGCTTTGAAATGAGAAAAGTCTCTAATTCAACCGCTTTGGTCTTAGAGATGAGTGATGTAAGATGCAGAGAAAGGACTGTTAACCAAGTCACAGAGCCAGGGAAGTGATGGAGTGAGTGAGTCCCCAGGCTCAGCAGCCCCCACCTGATGCTGAACGAGCTAACAGTAAGAGAGGGAGACTGGAACCCAGACGCGTTCTCCCAGGTCCAGGGTACTTCCCAGGCCTCAGCATCCTAGCTAGTGCCCACCCTGCCTCCTTGTGTTGCTGACTGCTTTTCTCCTTTGCTGAAGCCCAGCCCAGCAGCAAGATGTCTGGGCCTGGCCCTGCAAAGCAGTTGCTGCCCCTGGTATGTCAGCGCTGTGCCCAGAAGACTCCCTCCCCATCTCTCCCTGGGTTTGGAGCTGCCCACCAGCCTGTATGGACATGGAGAGATGAGCCTGGTCCACTGAGCCAAGAGCCACAGGAGCTGGATCTTTCAAAATCCCAAACCTGAGGGTGGCTTCATGGGGATTTGTTGATCAAATTGCTCTTTCCTATTGCCTCCTCATACCCACCGCCTACCCTCCACCCACAAACCAGCCTTCTGTTCTTGGCAGCTCCAGGACAAGCAGGGCCCTCCATGGGGTTCCAGATGTGTACAAGCACTGCTCAGAACCCCCACTGCCAGACAATGGTCACACCACAGATTCCTAGGCCTTTCCAGAAGCTGCTAGGAGACATGCAACCTCTCCAGCAGGGGCAACTGGCACCTCTGATAACATAGGAGCAAAATTATCATGAAAAGCCAGGCACAGAAGCTCCCTGTCTGCCAGGACGCCTTGAACGCAATGAGAGTCTGGGGGTCAGGTGTCCACGCAGATGCCAGGCTTCCTGCCTCCTTCCAGGCAGCCCCGGCGGCGCAGGCTCCTGCACTGCCCGCCCCCACCCTGTTCCCATGGCAAAGGAGAGGAGGATCCACTTACTGCTCGTGTTCATGGTGGTGCCTGTTCCCCGGGGTCTTTCATTCACCACGTTCGCTTTTCAAATCTTGCGTTCTTCCAATCTCACTCATCACCTGGGGGGGTGAAAAGGCAGTGCAGTGCCCGCCTGTATCCTCAGGTGCGCTCTCCCTCTGCTGTCCGCTCTACGCCTGGGCTGGAGCCATTGGCCTTGAAGGCGAGTAGACTAATAGGCGCAGGTGAGCTCGGGAGGGAGGAGGCGGCGGCGGCAGCGGCGGTGACACCGGCGCCCCGGGCGCCCTGCTCCTGGGACCCGAATGCCAGGCAGAAACCGAGCTGGCAGCGTCTGCTCGCACGCAGCCGGGACTATTCCAGCCCAGAGGCTTTGGAGCCCAAAGGGGGTGTGGACCACGGGGAGGCAGGGCGGGGGCAACGCGTCCCCGCCCGGCCTCCAGCACCCGCGACCCGCCCAGGGACCCACCTCTTGGCCAGCTTTGGGAGCCCGAGGCTCCTGCCCCGGCCCCTGCGACCAGCTCATGAATCCTGGTCCTGGTCAGGGGTCTCGAATTCCAGGGCGAGCAAAGCGTAATAGAAGAGCTCGCCATCCATGATGCGGGCTCGCGGGTTGGCAGCGCGGGGGGCGCGGCCGCTCGCTGCTGCCACCTGCTGGACGCGCCGGCGCGTGTCCGAGGCTCCGCCCCGCCGGCCTTCTGCCTAGGTCCTGGGAGTTGACTGACTGCAGATGGTGGAGACTCTGGGGTCCTGGGCTGAAAACAGAGTGTTTGGACACTAATATGCTTTTCCTCCCTATTGGGTTTAGGGGCTGGACCATTATCCGGAAAGGAAGTTATTGGGAGGGACTGCAAAGAAAAGTCTGGGTTTGCCGGAAGGCTGTTACCAGCCCTGCCCTGGCAGCACATAGGTCACTGCTTTCTTGGCTCCCAGGTGGCTCTGACCACAAGATAGTGGGAATTCCTGTCACCTCTGGGCTTCAGTCCCCACTTGAGTCTTTTACCTTCTTTACGTCCATTGCTCAGATGCATGTGTAGGACTTGGGTTGCAAGAAAGTCTAGGTCTTTAAAGTAGAATTTGATATCTACCGCCACTCTAAACCCGACCTCCAATCCCTGGAGCAGTGCCTGGCGCATAATAGGTATCAGTAAATACTTGTGGGTTTTTTTGAAGTTTTATTATTATTATTATCATTTTATGATACAGTTCCTTAGGCTCCTGGTAATTCCCTTATCCCAGCCCCAATCCCCGCCCCCCCAGTTCCTCTATATCATTACTAAAGTATAGTTCTTCATACTCAGTCATATGTCCATCATTGCGGGCATGGACAATGGCAGAGAGTCCAGAATCCTATTGTCAAGATATAGTAAACAGTTTCATTGTAAGTCCATCTTTGTCTGGAAGTAGAAATGCATACTACACTGCATCCTCACATCTGGATATGTTAGTCTTCATTTCACAGCTACTGTACATCACCTCAAATGAAAAGTCATGATACAAAATCAACAATAGAAAGAAAAATAGAAATTTACATTGCCATGAAGTTAAATAACATGTTACTAGATATGACAGTCTCCATTACACAGCTACTATACATCCCCTTAAATGAAAAGCCACAAAACAAAATAATCAGGAAGAAGAAAGAAATTAACAACAACATGAAGTTAAACAACATGCTACTAAATGACTAACGTGTAGCTGAAGAAATGAAAATCAAGAACCTTCTTGAAGAAAACGATGCTACTGCATGATCTATGAGTCATTGAAGAATTTAATCAGAAGAAAGTGTTTTGAAGAGATGAAACCAACAGAAAACAACAAAACTCATACAATATATCAGCGATATAACTTCCGCTAATTTTTGTTGGTGAAATGTGTCTCTTCTAAACAACAAATAGGTGGGTTTTGTTTTTTAATGCAGCCTACTAATCCATGACATTTGATTGAGCTTAAGCCATTTACATCCAGTGTTAATATATATGGGTGTTATTTTGGTCCTGTCATTTTAAGAATGGGTTGTTCATTGGTTTAGTCTTCTGTTGTCATTTTACTGGGATGTTCTTCACGTTTGCCTTTGGTTTTGTTTTGTGCTATTCCTCTTCTCTGTCAAGAGAACATCTTGAAGTATCATTTGTAGGGCAGGTTTGGAAGAGGCAAATTCTTTTAACTTTTCTTTACTGTGGAAGAATTTTATTTCATTTTCAAAGAGGATAGAAAGTTTTGCTGGATATGTTATCCTAGGCCGACAATTTTTTCCTTTTAGAATCTGGAATAAGTCACTCCATTCTCTTCTTGTCTGCAGAGTTTCCTGTGAGAGATCTCCTGTGAGTTTAACTGGCACTCCTTTATATGTCAGATGATTTTTTTCACATGCTCATTTCAGGGTCTTTTCCTTATGTTTAACTGAAAAGAGCTTGATGATCATGTGTCTTGGTGAAGATTGCTTTTGATCAAGCTTGTTGGGAGTTCTGTGCCCCTCCTGCATGTTGGTTCCCAATTCTTTCTCTAGGTTAGGGAAATTTTCCTTTATTCTTTCATTAAGTATATTTGTAAAACCAGTTTCTCTTTCTGCACTTTATGGGACTCCCATAACTCTTATATTTGGCCTCTTAATAGTGTCTTTCAATTCTTGAATACTTTTTTTTTGGCCTGAACCAGCTCTGCTTCCCACTTTTTGTTTGCTCCCCCCTGGTGACAGGAAATATCTTCCAATTCTGAGATTCTTTCTTCTGCTTGCTTCATTCTATTTTGGAGGCTATCCACTGTACTTTTAATTTGCTCTACTGTGTTCTTAATTTCTGATAGATCAGCCTTGATTTGCTTTATTGCTTCCTTAAATTCTTTGAACTTTTGTATGTGCTTCTCATTGTTGATCAGAAGCTTTAAAATGAGTTTTCTGAATTCGGTGTCCCCCATTTTCTCGATGTCTTCCTCAATTAACTCTGAGGTTGGCATAGGGTTTTGCTCCTTTGCAAGGGAGTTTTCAGTAATATTCATTGTACCTTGTCTCTTCTTTTGCTCTTGGTCATTGTACTTCTGGTTAGCAGAGTCTTCTTCTTGGGCAGGTTTCTAAGCTATGTCAACTACAGGTCTACAGTTTGATTTTACTTATTGCAGTTGGTACACAGCTTTTTGCTTGCAGCCACAACCTCCAGGAGTTGCAGGTCTGGGTTTTTATGTTGGATTTCCACAAATATCTCCACAGCCCCAGCTCTTGGCTCACCAATCTCCATCTCCTGTGATACTGTGCTGAGGCTGCTCCATTGTCAGTACAACCTTTCTCCCACTTCTGGTTGGAGCAGGTCCCAGGATTAAGGAGATGCCAGGTGTCCTCTATAGCTGGATTGTTGGTAGTGCTGATCTTGCCAGAACCTTTGGATATTATTAGGTCTGGGTGCCACATGGACCTATTTTGACCCATATGATGCCACAGTCAATACTATTTTCCTGTGGGACCAGTGCAATTCACAGAACTCAATGAGTTCTCTCGAGCTCAGTGCATGCAGAGTTCACTGTTGTCCCCTGCAGTGCATCAGCTATTGCCACGGTGTGCAAAATGGCACCTGATGTACCACTCCTAGAGTTCTTGATCTGCTGGCTGTCACGTCTGAGGGCTACCCAGACCTGTTTTGGGTAGAAACTGTAGAATGCTGAGCTGCTGCAATTAACTGAGTCAAAAATGAGTTCACTCCCAGCTCAGTGCATGTGCAGTATTGTCCATAATTTTTCTTGCTTCCTTAATCATATAATGCCCAATTTGATTCTAGGGAGCTGACTGCACTGTGAAATCCATTCTATTCCCGCACTGCCCGTCTGGAATGTACTGCTCTGTCTCTGCTCCTGTTCAAATCAAATGGACCAGCAGGATGGACAGTTCTTTGTCTGGGTTCACCTCCCAAGCTCCCAGAGAAAGTCCCTTCCCACCTGGTTGCTGGTGAAGTTCTGGCTGTTGGTGGAGTTCAGATTGCCATTAATTGAATGCCGCTGGAGTATCAGTCACTGGAATACCACAGTGTTGTGTCTGCTGCTTTCCTGTGTCTGTCAGTCTCCAGGTACCCCTCTGCTGTTGTTCTGTCCTTTCTTATTTCCTGGAATGTGTCCTCTCTGCTTCAACCTGATTAAATGTTTTTCCGTCCATTTAAATGTGTCCTTACCCTATTCCGCCATTTTGATTCTCTAGTAAATACTTGTTTACGGAGTGATCCAGGTGTTCTTTGAATCTAATCTTGCACACTGCCAAGAGCAGGACATCTAGGAGCCCTAGCCTGAAACTCTTCCCCTGTCTAACACCGCGAGGGTTTGGCCTCTTGACTCGTTCTCACAGATTCACCCTCAGTTTTTGTATGAACAGCTAAGTCTTATCCAAAAGTATTTTAGGGGGTGGGGGAGAGGGAAAAGGGATAATTAACTTTTAGAAGTGTGTGTTATAGAAGTTCATATTCCAAATGCTCAGGACATTGCTGATTCTATGGGGTGGAGTTCTCTAGATCCTGTGGCTGTTTGTCCTGCTACTCGCTGAACTAGAGCCTGATCACTGAAGCCTAACTTGAGAGTGTTGAAAAACAAGTGCGGGAGGACAGTGAGCCCTGTCTGCAGAGCGACTGCAGTGAGATAGAACCTGTATGCTATAAGAGATGTGAGCACTCACTCCCCAGCTTACAGACAAGGAAGTAGGGGACCAGAGTCTGAGATAGCTGCCTAAGGACCAGGGTCTTCTTGTGTCCAAACTGGGTGGGCTCTTCTAGTTCTCGTGTGGTTTTCTGTGAGAGTGCCTCACTGCACTTGGAGTCTGCCATGTCCAAGTGAGGTGCTATAGTCACCTTTTAAAATTGAGGTGACAACACCTACAACAGTGATTGAAGAATTTTTAAGTAACTCAAAGAATCATTGGATTGCAAAAGCTTTTTATTGCTTTCTAGGATTTGTTTCCAATAATATGGAGGCAAAAGTAGCCCTAGCCTCTCACAGAGGTTCTCTTTCTCTTTTTCCCTTTAAAAATTTAAAAATTTTATTATTAATATTGTTTACATGGTTAAGAGAGATGCATCCCCAAGTGAGCCTTTAATTAGAATGATGAGGATCAAAGTGTAGAGGAAGGTGGGATATGTTTCAGTTCTCTCTCTCTTTTTCTCCTGTGTCCATGGTGGGGGAAGGAGGAGGGGCTGCTCCTTGCTGCCAGACTGTATTGATAGCTGGAGATGGGGAGTGGTCGTTTGATGATGCCTTAGAGACCCCAGTGTGGGGAAGAATGTCCTGAGGTTGTTATTTAAGTGTTCGTTGGCTTTGCTGCGCCAAGATGTATTGGCTGACCAAGAATACCTTTTTGCCTCCACACATTTGCTGTAAAGCTTGGCCAGGAGAATTGACCAGCTTGCTTTGCTCTCCATCCTCTGACAAGGAATTTGACATCCTCTGCTGGCCTAGATGTCCTGAAGGTTCCTAATGTTTTTATGTAGTACAAGCACCTGCAGATACCTGAAGAATGCAAATTCCCAGGCTCCAGGTGTTCTTGCTCAGGATTTCAAGCAGATATCCCAGGTAATTCGCAGACAACTTACTTCTATTGAAAAAGACATAAGCCTGCAATGGCTTTGA